AAAAATGCTGGGGGGTGATGGGTCGAGGGGGAGAAAGAGAGAGCAGAGGATCCTAGCCTCTCTGGCTCCAGATAACATTGATGCTACTGTTCTGATGTTCTAATAGAAGCTTGCCAGGGACTTGGCAGAATTGCCTGGTATGGTGGATGCAGTTTTGTTATTTGTATTTCTATGGATTACAGCTCAACAGAGGAAAATAAGACCTGATCCTGGACCAGAATTTGACCCACCCTGGGGTTGGAGCAAAAAGGTGAGGCCACTAGTCACGGCCAGGAAGGCATTGCCTGTACCCTTTCCACCTTGGTTGCTGCGACAGGAAAACCAGCATTCAGGCCAGAGAAAGTGACTCGGCCCAGAAAGTTAGTGGCAGGCCCAGAACCAGGGTATGGCTGCAAGGGCATTCTACCAAGATGACCGCTAAGACAGGATCAGCTCCAGAGCATCAGGAAGGTGTGGTGTGTCCATCATCTCTTCCTTTTCTTGGTCAAGTACACACCCTCCTCCAAAGTGGACCCCCTCCTCCAAATTAATCTCAATGGCTCAATCTCTCTCTCTGTGTGTCTCTCTCTCTCCTGTGTGTCTCTTTCTCGTGTGTGTGGTCCTCCGTCTCTCTCCAGTTTAGGTCACCGTTTCCCTGGGCGGTTACTGCAGTCTGCTCTTTATTGCTGTGATGAAATGCTAACCAAATCCAACACAGGGGAGGAAAGGATTCATCCAGCTATAACTTCTGGGTCACCAGTCATCACTGAGGGAAGTCAGGGCAGGAACCTGGAGGCAGGAACTCAAGCAGAGACCGTGAAGAACCCCTGCGTCCTGGCTTGCTCCCCATGGCTTTCTCAGCTTTCTTCTGTAGACAGCTCAGGTCCACCTGCCCAGAGGGGGCACTGCCCACAGCGGTGTTTCTTCTTCATGACCCACTTACATATTCATAAAGAACCAGGACCTGGGGAGTCCGTGAGCAGTCAGCATGGGGGAGCAATGACCAGAGGGAAGCAGAGCTGTGAAGAATTAGAGCGCTAAAGGAGGAGTGAGGGGAGATGTGACCGACTGATACTGCAGAGACCAAGAGGACCCTGACTGGGGACTTGGGGACTTAAGAATCAGAAGATAGGAGATGTGGAGAGAAGAGATTTTGATTCTGGCAGAGTTAAAAAGAGCGAAGCTAGGCTGAAAAGGGAGAAGAGAAGGAGGGGAGGAAGCTAGTGTTGGTGAAGTGTGTCTTAAAACATGGCTCACAGACACAGCTGGGTCTCCACTTGTGTGGCTCCCACGCTTGTGGCCTCAACCACAGTATGCGGCAATAAATTGGGTATATAATAAACATGTACGGACCTTTTTTTCCCTTGTCATGATTTGCTAAATAAGACACAGCAATAGGTATTTACCTAGCAGTGCATTGTGTTAGGTGGTATATGTGATCGACTGGTGATTTTAAGTGTGGAAAATTTGCCTATGTTATATCAAGTGCTGTCTGTGCTAATCAGGGTTCTAAAAGAACAGAACATATAGGATGAGTATATACTACAAAGGGAGTTTATTACATTGGCTGACATGTTAGTTGATTTCACATCCAATCAAGATGATAGCTTAAAGTTAGCCATCACAATGGCATTTTCCATAGCACACTTGAGTATTTCTGGGTTTTGGAATTGGAGGTTCCTGGGACCAATCTCCCAAGGGTATCTTTTTACATTAACTAACTAACTAACTAATTAATTAATTAATGAGACAGGGTCTCCTGTATTCCAGACTGGTCCCAAACTTCCTGTGTATCTGAGGATGACCTTGAACCTCTCATCCTCTGGACTTCACCTCTGAGTATTGGGATTATGGGTATACACCACCATGCCCAGTTTATGTGGTGCTAGACATAAAACCTAGGGATCCACGCTTGGCAGGCAGGCCTCATTCTACCAACTGAGACACTCTCCCAAACCACACTTTCAAGGACATCCAGGGACAACTGAGTAAACTAGTGTCACCACATGTCAAGAGCTTTAAAATGCACAGCTCTTATCCTAGGATTTCATTTCTAGGCATGTTGTATAGAGGAAGATTTTGACAGAAAGCTGTTTATAACACTATAATTGTGAGGGGGTGGAGAAACCTATGTCAATGTTCAATACAGGGTATCAAACATGAAATTCTATTTAACCATTAACATGATGGAGAACATTTAAACCCCTAAGATTACAATATTATTTTAAGCCATATTTGGGGCTTAAATATAAGTATAAAACTATATTCTGAATGAGCCAAACTTATAAAAATCAAAAATTAGAATGACTCTAGCTGTGTGTATGTCTATTTATACATATATCCATCTACCTGCCATCTAGTCATCTAACCCAATAGACAAAGAAACTCAGAGGGAAGCCTGCTAAGATATGAGTATTTAGTAGTTATCTCTTCACTGTGGGCTTGTGGGTAATATAAAAGTATTTTTCTATGTTCTCCAAATTTCTATAGTAATTATGAATCAAGCTTATAATTAAGAAAACAAACTTTTTAATGCTATTTTTTGTTTTTCTTTTTGACATGGGATCTCAATATGTAGCTCAGGCTGGTTTGGAACCTGACTCAATCTCTCTGATGCTGGGGTCACAGGCATTCCCCGGTATGACAGATAAAATGGGATCATAGGTATCCCCCACCATGACAGGGATGCTGGAGTCACAGGCATCCTCCACCATGACAGGGATGCTGGAGTCACAGGCATCCTCCACCATGACAGGGATGCTGGAGTCACAGGTATCCCCCACCATGACAGGGATGCTGGAGTCACAGGCATCCCCCACCATGACAGGGATGCTGGAGTCACAGGCATCCTCCACCATGACAGGGATGCTGGAGTCACAGGCATCCTCCACCATGACAGGGATGCTGGAGTCACAGGCATCCCCCACCATGACAGGGATGCTGGAGTCACAGGCATCCCCCACCATGACAGGGATGCTGGAGTCACAGGCATCCTCCACCATGACAGGGATGCTGGAGTCACAGGCATCCCCCACCATGACAGGGATGCTGGAGTCACAGGCATCCCCCACCATGACGGGGATGCTGGAGTCACAGGCATCCCCCACCATGACAGGGATGCTGGAGTCACAGGCATCCCCCACCATGACAGGGATGCTGGAGTCACAGGCATCCTCCACCATGACAGGGATGCTGGAGTCACAGGCATCCTCCACCATGACAGGGATGCTGGAGTCACAGGTATCCCCCACCATGACAGGGATGCTGGAGTCACAGGCATCCTCCACCATGACAGGGATGCTGGAGTCACAGGCATCCTCCACCATGATAGACTCAAAGTTGCTTTTACAATGGCATGAGCTGGTGGTAAGAAAGGAGAAATAAGGAAAGAAGACTAACTTTAAAAGAGGGGGTAGTCTATGAGCACTTGTGTGTGCATCTGAGTGTATGTATTTTCACCACACCAGTGCAGGTGCCAGAAGAGGGTATCAGATCCTCTGGAACTAGATTTATAGAGATTGTGAGATGTCTGATGTGGGTGCTGGGAACTGAACTTGGGTTGTCTGCAAGAGTAGCAAGGGCTCTTCACCACCAACCCATCTCTCCAGCTCCAAAGATTGACTTTCATGAAGTTTAACAGTGAAGAATTGAGGAGAAGGAGTGATCAACCAAGGAGCAGCCAGTGCAGGAAGGCTTGATTTGGGGTTAATTTTAAAGACCCAGTACAATATTCCACACGTGTAGGCAGAGAATGCAATAAGGGTGAAGCCCAAGACTCAAGGCAGAAAAACAAATGAAAATTACAAGGAATTCAAGGGACCCAGGAAATCCAGTCAGCAGCACAGGGGGACTGGTTTTAGAGCAAAGCTCGGAGTGAGCTCATGTGACCTGGCCCCACTCAGATGCAGAACCCAGCTAGGCAGCCTTGGTGCTCCTGGCAGGATAAGGTGCCTCTTGCTGGTCTTGCATATTCAAAGGGGCCAGGACCTCCCCTGCCTTCTCATGGGAACACCTTCCAGCTACTAGCTCTGGCCCTCTTTTCCTTTGCAACATCGTCATGTGAGACCCAAGGACATGGAATGTGACTGACTTCAAGCCTAGGCGCTTTGCCTGTGGCTCTGGTGTGGGTCTGGGTGGAACCCAGAAGAACAGTACCCATTCACAGTTCCTTCTTCCTTAGTTCCTATTCAGTCTGGTGGCTGGTAATCCCAGCTACTTGGAAGGCTGAGATGGGAAGATCGAAAGATCAAGGCCTGCCTGGACTACAGAGTGAAGTTCAAGGCTAGCCTAGGAAACTTTGATTCTGTCTTAAAATCAGAAAAGTCAAAAGAGGGCTGGGGAGATATAGCCCAGAGAGGTACAGCTTGCCTTGCACACTTCAGGGGCTAGGTCCAATCCCTGTCACCAAGACAACAAACAAAGGCACAGATCTCCCAGGGCTGAGAGCCTAGTGCCTTGTACTTTTGACCCCTCCCTCAGCATGCTTCAGCCTCACTTCAGTGGCTCCTGTGGCATCTCTGTTTCCAGCCTCTCTCAGCTGGTGGCCTCCGGTTGTAATCATCTCTGTAAGGAATGACAAAATCCCCGTCAGCTCTCCAGGCTTCAACTGCTCTCCTCTCCTCATCCCCTTTGGCTTCTCCTCTGTGACTGTGCTGTTCCCCAACCCCCCCTCACACTTCCCCCAGGGTCCATTGTCCCTGTCCAGGAGAATCTCTGACCCTCTTGCTTGTTTTCAGCTTTCTCCTGGAGTCTTGCCCTGACCTTTGTCCTGCCTGAATAGATTGCAAATATTTACATCTCTAGGTGACCTGCAGAATCCTGAGAAGAGAGGGCCAGGGTTCAATTTGTCCTATATCCCCTCACATCTGACCCGACTCTGGGAGAGTGTCCTTAAGGGTTTGTTGAGGGAAGAAGTGATGCCCTCAGCGTGGTGTACCAGTCAAGGGAGTGGGAGTCAGCCCTAACGTCTGCTCTAGGCATGATACGGTGTCTGAAGTGCTTTTGCGATGTTATTTCCGTAGGTCTCAGAGCTACACGGGCAGGAGGAAGAGCAGGAGGATATTAATATCCTCCTAGATAATGAAACAGGCTCATTGGAAGGGACCCAGTCAGAACACAGTGAGCAACATCCCCTGTCAAACTCCAAAGGCCTGCAGACACGGGAGACATCATTACATCCCCTCCCCAGTGGAACTGCCTAGAGATTGAAAAAAAGCCACCCACCGAGGACGCTCTGTGTCATCTCCGCATCTCTGAACACGCACTTTTCGTCTTCACAGCCTGATGAAGGTCCTTGCAGGCGGAAACTGGGTCATCCATCTTTCTGCAGTCTACAGTTCTTGGCAAGTCGTAAGTATTTTGTAAATATTTACTGACTTTAATTATCCATCAGATTATTTGTTGATTTATTAAGTTAAGCTCTGATGGTGAATTTTCTGGAATCAGAGTAAGAATTATTTTTGAGCAGATGGCCCATTCCCGGTGCCCATCAAATTAGACTAGATGGGTCATTTTCTAAGCATGGGACCAGCCCTGAGGCTATAGATAGAACAAATTCAAATTCATGATGAATTCATTAAAAATTCCAGGACAAGAAATCTTTCAGGGGCACTAATGACATCCCCATTTAAGACTAAATTAATTCTGTACGGTTTAAATGTTATTACAGTAAAGCGCAAACGAACGTAATTGTGACGAGGCTCCGCTTCTGAAAGGGACCCCTTAAGCCAGTCAATCATCACAGCCCAGTTATTCATTAGCATGATTTGACATCTCCTATGTTATGCGGCTTTTTTTCAGTTCGCATCGGCAACGTATTTATGGAGAACTTCCTCGAACACACGGGATGGCCGTATAAAGGACGGAGAGAGAAGCAACCAGGTGTGACTACAGCTCCACTGAGCCTCACCAGTCCAACTCGGATGTGACCACCAGTGGCTCCTGCATCCCCCGGGAGCTTATTACAAGTGCAGGTGCTCGGAGACTTCCTGCATCAGGACCTCAGTTTAACAACGTCCCCTAGGGACCTGTATGATCATTATTACAATTGGAGGAGGAAATCATGGCCGTGTAACTGAAGAGAGGCCAGTCAAATGAGATAACTGCAGAGCAAGGGGAAGCCTTCTCAGTGAGGTCTACCACTACCCCAGTACACCCAACTCCAAAATCTCCCACTGTACCACCCTCATCTTATTGCCCTGCACAACTTTCTTCCGTACTGTTTATCACTTTGGGCCTATACGACATTCTACACTACATATTTATTGTGTATGCAGTTCGCTCTGTCTGTCTCCTGCTAGAATTTAAGTCCATAAAATCTTTGCCCACTTATTTAGTGCAAACCCCAAGTGTTTACAGATTTAAGCTCTTCAGGGGCCCATATACGATGTCCCTCTGTCTTCTAGCAGTGTGAGGCTAGCCAAGTGCAGAATACAACCTTCTCAATAACTGGATGAAGATAGGGAGGGGCAGGCCACTGAGAGTCTGACCTCGCTCCAGTGAGTCTATAGATAACACAAATTGGACATTTTTTTTTTTTTTTTTTTTGGCTGGGGCAGGTACAAGGGTTGGGGAGGTGGACAGGTGTGGGAGGCCAGCTCCCACTTTTTAAAAATGTTCCTATGAGGAGGAGAGAGGGATAAGAAACTTTTAGATAGAAAGATAGCAAAGAGGAGAAAGACAGAAACACAGGATAGCTTCAGGAGGACCTGGATCAAAACCCACTGGCCCCTTCTGTCTCTTCAAAAGAGCTTTTTATAACAATGCCAAGGGGCGAGGCCAAAGACCTCCTCCTTGCTAGATCAAAGCAACTGCACAGCCAAGTGCAGACCCTTCCAAACACCTGGTAACCACGCCCGTGGTCAAATCATCCCCTTATGCAGCCCTGCTGGGGAAAGCAAACTTAAGATTCTTGGACCCTGAGAAAGTTCTCACTAGGAAACCTCTGTGAGTCTCTGCAGATGGGCAAGTACTGGGAAGGAAATGTGATGGGGGTGTATGATGTGAAATCCTCAAAGAATCAATGAAACTATTATGTTGGGGAAAAAAGAACTTTAAAATGGGCATGAAGATAATGATAAATGATAAAAGCAATATCCTTATTACGCTCCCTTTAGTAAAGCAAAGACTGGCAATGGGAGCTGCCACAGGATCACACTATCATCAGTAGTGATGGCCACAGGATCACACTATCATCAGCAGTGATGGCCACAGGATCACACTATCATCAGCAGTGATGGCGGCAGCTAGTGATCTGTGCTGTCACCACACTGTGGAGTCTGCTGAATTCTAAGGTGATCAGAGGGATGATCTGGCTCCTTTCAGGTAGGGGATACCCACACACTGTCTCTTTTCTTTTCCCTTCTTTTGCTGGCCACCTGCTCCATCTTTATTTTCTCTATTTCCATTTTCCCTCACCTCGCAGGTTCCCGTGCTTCATCCAACCTCCTATGAACACGTGACCTTAGTGCTTCTCACCGCCCTGCCTTCCAGACAGCAATCGCAATTGACTGAAACTTGGATGTGCTATTTTATAGTCACGAGAACGTGTGAAACTGGCCTCATTTACCGCTCCCCCCAAATTACCATACTTCCTGCTTATGTGTGTGCCTTGCACAGCTGTTCCCATTTGCAGAGGCCATCACAATGCTCAGAAGATAATCAGAGAAGCTTCTTAAGAACAACATGCAGCCGTTCGGGGAGGGAAAGGAAACAAGCAGAAATCAGTGCCCGTGCTGAACTGGAGTGGTAATGAGCTCAGACGGGAACCCTGCTGGGACCTCCTCCGCCAACCCACACAGCTGGGAGGTTTGCGGTTTACACAACCCGGTTAGTGATGCTCTGCGTTTGGCTGCTGAACAGGCACGGGCCCTCCTCACCATGCAAGCCATTTCCTGAATGTGTCTTTGGTAGAGGGAATTAAACTGCTAACTTGTTACTTGCTCCTCCAGGGTTTCATGACTTTATCTGACCTCTAGTGCTGCCATCATTGCTTAGGCATAGAAAGATCACATTTAGGCTGATTAGCTTCCTTTAAGTCTCCAGGCAGTGTTCAGTCCAGTCTCATTACTTCTTTTCCCCAAAGTTAAAAGCAAAGTTATCAGTACCCAACTTGAGTATAAAACAGCAGACACCAGGAGACTGGAGAGACAGCGGGGTGGCGGCAAGTGTTCCCTGCTGTCCTCCAGGACCCAGTTTGGGCTCTCAGCACCACACCTGGAACTCAAGTACCAGAGGATCCAGCGCCCTCTTCTGGAGTCTGTGGGGACCTGCATCACACATGCACAGCTGCACAGACATACACATGCACACATGATTAAAAACAAAGGAAATCTTTAAAACATAATTTATCAAATGATAAGCCCAGTGTGAGTCATGAAGACCACTGTCTCTTTCCTTTAGAACATTCACTAGTAAAATTCAACCACCGCCTGAAACCCACCACCCTGCTTACCAGTTGTTGGTTCTCAAACCTGCTTTGCCATTCCGATCTTCCCCGGATGTTGTTCGACCTCATTCACATGGTGTTTCTAACCTGTGCTTTTTAGAGTCGCTTGCTTTTCAGGCTGCGCAGTGTTTGGTTGGTCACTCGAGTGCACTTTTGAGCTCTAGGTGAGCATTTGACTGTAAAGATATATTCGAGCTATTTAATAATTTTACTTAGCAACAGTGCAGGTGGTTCCGGGGGGGAATTCCCAGTGTTTCTCAGTTCTGTTTTCCAGGTCAGCTCTATAGTTAGTAGAGACTATGAAGTGGAGGATGTGTCACGAGACCCCGTCTCCAGACTCTTGGTCATTTAATCAGGACACAGACACTCACGCTTCCTGGGAAACACCTGTGGCATGAAGAGGTGGCCATTGCTGCACTGCTGTCACCCGCCAGCTTAGTGGTGGGCCTGTGGGCATGGGAAGCAGGGCATAGGGTGGCAGCTGGTTGGCTGGATGTGGCGGACTTCCATTCCCATTGTCAAGACCCAGGCTCCACAAGCAACCAGGGCCCACTGAGCCTAAAAACCACTCTACCATACCAAAAGTGTGCGGTTGGTGACATTATGGCGTGACAGGAGGAATAAATGTCCCCTCAGTTTGTGTGGGAAGATCCTTCCAGTAAGCCTTGAGTGCCCAACTCCATCTTGCTCATGTTTTCATTCCCCCCCCATATCTTTTCCCTCCCCCTCCTTCCTATCTCCCTTCTCTCCCTTTGCCCTCCTCCTTCCTCCCCGCCCCCACCTAGCCTTTTGCTGCTTTCTCTCTTTTCCCTCCCAAATCAACTAGGAGTCTACCAAATGCCACTCTGCTGAGGTCCAGTGGTCGGCAACGTACAAGGTCCATTCAACATGAGAGTTCTTGACCAGGTCCGCACATCCGAGCCCCCCGCCCCAGCACTGAAATATAAAAGATTCTCAGGCCCACCCAGGCCTACCCCATTAGAATTCGAAAGGGCACAGACTAAGAAAGGGGTTTTGAAAACACTTCCCTGTGACTTTGTTACGCATAAAACCACCACCCTGCGGGCGGGCGGACAATAGTCAGGCACTCCGTGGTGAGTGCTGGGAAAGAGGTATGAACAAGAAGCTGTGGCAGCAGAGAGAAGCCATGCACGCAGCGGTTAAAGAGATTTGGTGGTCGGGGAAATGTCATAGGGGTAAACTGAGTCTTGAATGACGACTGGGAGGCTTACTGGGTTTTAAGGGCAGATGAAAGCCCAAGAGATAGGAGAGGTCATTGGACAGATCTGTAGGTCACTTCAGGGGCTCTCTCGTTCAGCACAGCTGGGTGAGCATAAGCAAAGAGGGAGAGCACTGGGGTGCGACTAGGGTGGCAGCTAGGGGCCAAGTGGTGCCAGCATTAGCCGTCTGCCAACTCGTCTGAATTTTTGCCTGAAATCTGTGGGAAAATCTTGAGAGTTTTAAGGAGGACATAATAGAGACATATTTACATTTGAGATGAGTAAACCCACGGCGGTGCTATGAGGCCAAGTCAAGGAAGACCATCAAGGGAGTTCTTACAGTCACGTAAACCCAGGGTCAGTCCCCAATGTGATTTAAACATGAGCTCAAGACGGCTGTGTGAGTCACGCGGGCGGAATTTACCGGTCGATTTCCAAATGTGTCCCCTTGTGCCTGTGCAGACCCAGTGGGCGGTACTTCTCCTGTAATGCCATAATCTACCACTTTAACCTTATTGTTCAGGGTTGCACAAGACCATTGTCATGCAATTACATCAGATACTTTGAGCATATCCCTCCTCACACCTCCTGGCCCCCACTTTCTAGGAGTCCCCCTTGTTCTCCAGTTTCACATCTACTCGGTCATCTGTAATAGACGGTTTGTGCTTCTCTAAAGTCTAGGACCCACAAATGAGAGGAAACGTGTGAAGTTTGTGTTTCTGAGACTGACTTAATTCTCTTGATGTAATTATTTTACCTGACACCAAGCAATCCAAGGGAAGAAAGGTCTATCTGGGGCCACAGGTCTAGGGGAACATTCCGTCATGGTGGAGAAGGTACGCTATGGGAGGGGGAGGAACAAGAGGGGTCACGTGTCCACAGTGACAAAGCGGAGCATGATGAACGCTGGTATTCAGCTCTTTCTCCTTGTTACTCAGCCTGGAACCTCCAGCTATGGAATGGTGCCACCCCCGTTTAGGGTAGGCCTTTCTACCTCTATTAACATAATATGTACCCAGCAATTTGTTTGCATATTAATTCTAATTCTCATGAACTTGATAAAATTAACCATCACAAAGTCTGAAGCAGCCAGGGAGGACACATCATTCAGCTTCCTTCATTGGACCTGCTGCCTTCTGTGGCCGTCTAACAATGGACGTAAAGGATCTCCCACTTCCACAGGCCGTGACGGCTCCCAGGTTCCCACTTTCAAGTCACTCCTGTGGTCCTTCCACTGTAGAACTCCTGAACCCACCTTCTGGTTCCGTTTTGTTCAGTCTATCTCTAAGGCCGGAGCAGCCGCCAGAGAACAGGAAGAGACAGGTCAAAGAAGATTCTAGAATAGGATGGAAAAAAAAGGGTCCCCCTCTTGGCAGTACTCTGGCAACATAGCAGCATCACCGTTTTCCTCTCGGTACCAGGACAAGGACTCGGAATCATTGCCCACCAGTCCTACATCCAATCAGCCCCACAAAAGGGCTGCCAGACTTGTGCGAAAACGGGTCTTCTCAACATTGGGGTGACTCCTGGGTTTTGGAAGACCAACATCAGAATTTTTGCAGCCAAGATATCAGCTGGTCCAATGAGTCTGGACAGAGCAGTCTGGACTTGCTTTTAATAATGAGGTTTTGACTTTCAGAAAATGCCCTGGTGGAGGAAGGAAAAGTCACCATGCAAAGCCCTGCACTCCAAGCCCAAGGCTTGAGGAAGAGTTATGACAGCAGCAACAGCAGCCCGGCTCCTCTTGGGGGTCTGCCAGCGTCCCCACACTCGACAGTCTTCTGGAGTCTATACCATGCGCTCTGAGGTAATCAATTTAAGAGGCTTTTATGAGATGACGGAGCACGTTACTTAAAGCATTCCCATTTATTTTGCCTTACTCTATGTTTTTATTACCTAGAATTTAAATCCAATCCATTTGGCAATGTTTTACAGAAGCGGAAAGGCAGGAGAATAGGAATTTGTCAGCCAGGGAAAGGCTGATGGGACCAGCCCCTAGGGAAGGGCACACGGAGGTGCCTAAGGGTGGGGAAACTCGAAAGCCTCCCCTCCCATGGGTGAGATGGAAAGTTTCTCATTGCTTCAGGAGGGTGTCCCTGCTCCTTCATCTTGGAGGGAATCGAATCCAAGGCCTTGATCACACTAGGCAAGTACTCCACCACTGAACTACATCACCAGCCCTTATCCACAATTTTAAACATTTTTCTAAGGGCTCATTCTCACCATTGTTCTCTCAAAAATCTTCCAGCCTGGGCCCTGGGGTGGGAGCTGGCTCTAGGCTCAGCATGGGAAGGAGGGGATCCTGGTCATATTCTCAAAGCAGGCTCTTCTGCCTTATGAACTCCGTTAGTGCTGGCCACAGGGGTTCTGCCCTAAGCTGGACCCTCTTCAGCCTGAGCTGTGATGAATTAAACAAGCCGAGTTACTGCAGAGACCTGCTTTCCATCCTTTGCTGAGCATTCGTTGAGAGCTTACTATATGCCAAGCAGTGCTGCTAGACTCCACACGCTAAACGCTATAGACAATGTAGTCTAGCATATATCCTGTATGTTATATAGGGTGATATTACACCTCTGTACATTATCCGTTGTACCAGCCGGACACACTACCGTCTACACACACTGGGGAATGTGTGCAATATATCGCACAGGCAGCTATATATGCTAAAACATGCATTGCCATAAAAGGGATTTGGTGAATATATGTTGAATAAATGAATCTCATACTTAAAAAGAAAAAAGAAAGAAAGAAAGAAAAAGAAGACACTTCATGAACGAGCTTGGTGGCTCAGGCCTCTAATTCCAGCTACTCAGGAGGCTGAGTCAGGAGCATTATAAGATCAAGGCCTGTCTGGACTGCAGGATGAGTTCAAGGCCAGCCTAAGCAAGTAGTGTGTCAAATCCTGTGTCAGAATAAAAGGAATAAAGAGACCGGAGATTGTTTTAGAGGCTGTTCCCAGAGACACTGCTGCTCACCTTCGCCCACCAAGGGTAGGTATGTCAATCACCAGCATCCTGGTTCTACTGTTCAGTCTCATCTCAGGTTCAGGACCACACCAAGCTGCCTCGCTTTGCTGTTGACTCTGCACCTGGAACACATCTTAAAGAGGAGGAAGACAGTCAAGAATCTAAAATGGGATGGAAGGAAGTCTTCCTCATCCCTGGAGTTTTCTGGCAGCAGGAATGATGCCATGCTTTCTCAGTGCTGTGATGGATAACGGGACTGGCCCCTTAGCTGAGGTAAAGAGGACCTGCTCAGCCAGCTCTGTCACCTCAGCATTCTGACCACAGAGACCTATAATCAGGACAATTTTTATATATATATATATATATATATATATATATATATACATATACATATGTATATGTATGTATGTATGTGTGTGTGTGTGTATATATATCAGGATCCTGAGTGGGGACAGGGTGGTCTGCATGGTGGCTGAAACCATTCTGGAGCTCCAGTCTGTTCAGTCATGGCCACACACCTCACATCTCATTCTTTTTATCAGGTCATGTGATAAGGCTCCTGTATTTGAATGCTTAGTCACCAGGGAGTGGCACTATTTGAAAAAGATTAGGAGGTGTGGCCTTGTTGGAGAAAGCGTGTCACTGGGGACGGCTTTAAGGTTTCAAAAGCCCAAGCCAGGCCCAGTGGCTTTCTCTTCTGGATGCCTGTGGATCCCAATGTAGAACTCTCAGCTCCTTCTCCAGCACCATGTCTTCTTGCATGCCACCACGCTGCTCCCTGCCATGATGAGAATGGACTAACTCTCTGAGACTGTAATCAAGCCCCAAGGAAGTACTTTCTTTTGTGAAAATTGCCGTGGTCATGGCTTTGGCAGCCCAGGTGACAGAGTCCCCATCCCTGCTTACCGCATAGCCTTTCAGCCATAGCGCTGTCCTCAAAGGGTAGTTAAATTGGTCCCTAAGGGTTTTCTTTGCTTTTCTTTTAAGACAAAGGTCTCGTATAACCCAGGCTGGCTTCAAATTCACTATGGAGCTGAGGTCTCTACCTCTCTACAAGTGCTGGGATGACAGGCATGTGCCACTTTATCTGGTTTTATGTAGATCAGAAGAATGGACTGTGGCTTCATGCATGGTAAGCAACTGGGCCACCTCCCAGCACCTCTAAGTTAGGTTTTCTGAGTAAGAAAACTGGACCCACAGACCCCATCTCTGTAATCTAGCTTTGGGCTGGTCACTTCCTTGGTCTGGTCAGTAGAGGCCAGAGGCAGAGGTACTTGCCCACAGAAGAAGTCATTAGTAAGATGTACCACAAGGACATATCTGATACCATGTTCATGATTTTCCATGACCCCATGGCTTAGGAAGGCCTTCTCCACCCCCTAGTCAGATGATGGGAAAACTTAGTAACCAGAAAAGGTAACAGCTAATTTCCCTGGATATCCAAGCTCTGACATATTGCAGGTGAGCATGGAGAGGGGATGAGTTCACTGCAAGGGCTCCCAGATTTATGAGTGCCATGGGCTGAATGGACATGTCCCTCTAGAATCCATCCATTGAAATCTAGTCCCCAGCATGATGACTTAGGAGGTGACCCCTGTGGGAGGTGACTAGGTCATGAGGGTGGGACTGCCAGGAATAGGGACAGAGCCTTAGAGAGGTGGCCTGCTAGTCTCTTTTGCCATGAGAGAACACACAGAAGGGCCCCCTGGGAATGAACTCTGATCAGAGACTGGATCCGCACCAGCCTCCACCTCCAGCTCAGAGCCGAATATTCTTATAGTTTAGAAATTACCCATCGTGTGGCGTTTTTGTTACAGCAGCAGAAACAAACTAAGACAAGTGGGAAGTAAAAGCTAAAAGCATACACAGAGGAAGTAATGAAGAGGGCGGGTTCAGGGAGAGGAAGCAGAATGAGGACGAGGGGAGAGATTTAACCACCGCATTAGCAGTGATCACCTCAGCGCTTCAATAGTACCTCACCCAGAGTCCTCCCTCCCCTTTGCAGAGTCACAGTCAGCCCTGAGTCCTTTTAAGGCCTTTAAGGTTTGGCCTTCAATACTGGGAGCAGAAGCTCTGGAGTTCCAGAGATGTGGTGATGTTCACCTAAGACAAAGTGGTTTCTGCTGCTCATTGTGAAGGCCACCTTTGGAAGTGGCCAATGTTCCTTCTTGTTCAATGTTCAATGTTCAATGTTCCAGCTCTCTCCCCAGCACCCTTTGCTCTGAGATCACAGATGGACTGTCATAATTGGCTGCTCAGTTCAGTGACCACAGAACTAGTGTTTTAGCAGAGTCAAGCAACTGCCCTGGTGTGTCTCTGAGAAGAAAGTGGATCAGAGGATTGCCCAGGGCTAATTAATGATCACATTCTCTTTCCTCCACCTTCCACCTCCTCCTGGGCTTTCTCTCTTTCCCTTTTCCAGAATTCTCTGATTGAGTGGATGAATCCCACAGTGATCCTGTGAACCAATGTCAATCGAATGTGTAATACCTGCCAGGCCTGCTTGGAAGCACGTCTCATAATCACTCACTTAATCCCCCTGACAGACCTGCACAAGGGCACCATCCATATCTTCATTTTAGGGACTGGGACTTGAAAGCAGAGCATTTCTGCCCCTTCTCAAGGGCACAGAATTGGTAAAAGGATGATGTGACCCAGGCAGGTCACCCCAAGCGCCTTTGACCTCGCACACGCTCCTCTTCTGGTCTGTTGGGCTTTTCTTTCCACCTGGCAAGAATGAAGTGGAGTCAGGGAGGGAAGGCCTAGAGAGCCACAGCTGGACACACACTTGCAGGGTCAGCCGCGATGAAACTGACTAAGTGTGGGGCATACAGTGAATTGCTTTGCCTCTCCATGCCTCAGCGTCCTCATGTGCAAGTGGAGGATAAGAGTGTCTGTCTCAAACGTGGAGCGGAGGATTAATGCGTGCCTGAAACAGAAATCAGATCAACTAATGGAAGTAACTGTGGGGGTGGCTTTGATATCAAGCCATCATTTCCACATCAGGGCTGCCTGTGGCCATCCCAGGAGAGCCCTGCCTCCCGGAGCGGCAGGGACTCTGCTGTCTTGACTGGAAGATCGCAAATTCTCCCTCCCAAAGTCTTTGACAGGTAGGAAAGGGATGGCATTTCCAGACCCACAGCAGAACAATAAAACATTTACAGGTTGTAGTACATAGTGTTCATTCAATTTGCACAACTTTTTAGCCAACAGAGGCTAAGAACAAAGGCAATTGCCCACCATCAGAACAGGGCAAGGGGTAAGCCAGTGTTCACAGCCGGGCACCTAGTAGGTAGTGGCCTTTCCTGTCGGCATAGTGAGTTGCAATGATAGAGACAAATGTATCTGAAGGAACCTGTGACTATTCTATGGGACCCCTGTCTTTGTGGGGCTTTATCCAATGAGTGGACCCGTTGCTTCCCGACCCCTGGCTGTGACAGCCCTGGTACCAGGTGAACTCTACTCTGTCCACCTCACTGGTACCCTTTCCCACTGCCAGTACACAGCATACGGGGTGGGGAAGAAAAGGAAAGAAAATGCTTGGTGAGGGAAGAAAAAGATCCTTTATGTGGCCTGGAAAATTTAAATTGAGAAGTTAATCCTGCCTCAGTACCATGACAACAGAGAGATGCAGTTATTATGGGACACTTATTTTGTCAACTGATTGTTAATTTCTCATTATTTGCTTCTCACTTTCTTGGGGAAAATTCCACTTTCTGCTCCTCTGCCCCACGGGTAGATGTCTTAGATATTGATTGTGTTTCGCTTATTAATTCCATTTTTATGCTTTCAAAAAACATCTTTTTACTTTATTATCCCCTAGAGCTTGTAATAAGTTGTATAAGTGTACGGCCCCAATTATCATCTCTCTGTGGGCAGAAAAAATATTATACCTGAGATCCGACCATTAGCTGACATCTGCTGTGGCGTTTCTCATCTCTTGACGGCCAGGACTGCCTTCATTTCTCTCTTCCCAACACTCTGGTTCGAAGGGGAGCCTTGGAAATCTAGCCCTGTGCCAGTATTCACTGCTTTCTATCTCACATTGAAGGCTCTTCAAATGAAAATACCAAGTTGGGACTGGTGAGATGGCTCAGGTACCTGCCACCAAGTCTGATGTTTAATCCCTGGGTCCCTCATGACTAAAGAGAGAACCAGCTCCCACGAGTTGTCTTCTGACCTCCACACACAAGCCATAGCATATATGTTCATACACACTCACACACTCACACACACACACACAAAATTGATCCCACAAAGCTATTTCCAATCCTGAAATAAGAATTAAACTCCATAAAATTGCATTGTTTTTATTCCTCCAATATAAAGATCCTTGGATATCTTTGTCCTTGGACATTGCAAGCTAGAATAATTTTGTTTTCTATATAGCCTTATCAAAGACAAGAGACCCTTAGCTTATCGAACATGGACCATCACCTGGAAAAATACCTGACCAAGTCACTAAAGGGAGACCTGGTTTGATTTGGTTCAGAGTTTCAGAGGACCCATCATGGCAGAGAAGGCGTGGTGGTGGGGGTGTGAGCAAGCTGCTTGTTCACATGGAGGCAGACAGGAAGTAGAGAGCTTGGACTGGAACAGGGAACAGAATGACCTTCAAAGGCCCACCCCAAGTGGCCTACTTCCTCCAGTGGGACTGCCTCCCTTTTGTAGGTTCTAGACCCACTCTAGCTAGGGGCCAAGATTCAGATATTGTCTATGGGAGACATTTCCTTCTCAAACCATAATACTCATTCTATTCCCACCCAGAAAGTGCCTTTACCCACAAGGCTAAGGAGGAGGCTTTGCATTTTGCCTCTAACAGAGAAGGAGAGAGGAGTTCCCACCCTGGAATCTGACTAATTCATTATCCCCTGTGTGAGCACCTACTGTATACCAGTCTCTGAGTTAATCATGGGCCTAGAAACAGAGAGCCTGGGAGGATCCCAGGGAAAAAATGAACTGGATTCCAGTGTCCATTCTTTAAGCATAAAACCAATGGAGAAGTATGATTAGGAATCTGGGAGGTAGAAATGACAAGTTTGATTATTGGTAGAAACCAAATGAAGGACATGTTTTAAGTGCTCAGCCTCCGGTTCCCTCACATACCTGAGCAACCCGTTACTGCAGAGCTGGACCACGGCAGCCATCTGCAAAGGGCAGAGCACGTTGGGCAGCTTTCTAGGAGGGTGAAGATGGTGAGGTATGCACAGGCTGATGGATAGACAGACAGATCTGAGGGAGGAAAGGCAGCACCAGGACACTGGGTCCTCTGTCACTGTCAATTTTGCGATAGATAGACTATTATTGAAGTGTACAGAAGTCAGTAAGGGTGGGGCAGGGACAGGAACGGGATTCTGGCTAAAGCCACTCCATCAGTGCTACCTCTAACTAACGTGCTTTGACCTCTCAAGGAGAAGATGGCTGGCGGGGGGGGGGGGGGGGAGAGGTGTGGGGCGTTTACCCAACCACCCCCACAGTTCCCCAGAGTTTTCTTGAGTGCGAGCAGCAGGAAATATTAGATAGAAGGATTTATTGCGGAGAATATCGCGGAGATAAACAGATAGAAAATAAAGGATAGCCTCAAGAGGGCCTGGAACCTATTCCAACGGGCCCCCAACTGTCTCTGCCCCAGGGTTTTTATAGAGACGCCAAGGGGGTGGAGCAAAAGACCTCCTCCCCCAGCACAGCCAAGTGCAGACCATCTCAGACACCTGCACTCAGGCCCGTGGTCCTAATCATCCTCTATTCGGACCTGCTGGGTAAAGCCATGAGGAACCCGAGAACGGGCTCCCACAAAGAGGCCGCTAAGTGAGGACAGGAAACACAAAATGGCACAGGGCAGGTAGGCACCAACCCAGTTGCTAGGTAAACTGTAAATGGATTTAGCATCACCTCAGAGCTCTAAAAGCCTGTTCTCCGGAGGCCAGCTCAAGAGGGAGGTGACGTACAGAGAGTGACCAAGGGGGCATCTGTCCCCCTGGGTCTCTGAAGATCAGGCCCTCTCCACCTCCATCTCTTCTGGTGTCAAGGAGTAAGAACTGAGCATGTGAGCAGATGGAGACGCTCACGAGCTACGCTGCCTGTGTGCCTCCCAACCTGTTCTTGATTCATGTCATGTCGCACTGGCTGTTGTGAGCCCTACAGGGACAGGCTGCTTTCTCTCGGAGCCTCTTTCTCTTACCAGTGGAGGTGGCAGTTCCAATCATCTGCCCACCTCCCAGAGTCTCTGCTGTGAGCCTTCCAGAATGATGTTTGCTCAAAGCCGGCTGCTCTTAGAGGCATAGCCCTCTGTAAACACCGAGTTTCATTACTAGACGATGATGAATTTTTAAAATGCCAATTCTGGCCTTCACTCCGGCTCAACTCTGCATACAATTCGCTCCTTCTTCATCAAACACCTCAGGTGCCTCACCTCCGTGCTGAGGACATGGCTTCTGGTACTGGTCAAGGCCACAGACAGGTGCTTCCCGGTGCCAGGATGTTCCTATGAGTGCCGGAGTCTGCTGCCACCCAGTAAGTGGGACAGGTGGAGGAATGCAGGCCCAGGTGGCAGTCAAGTTGAAGGTAGTAATTTGTGTCTTAGGTGAAGTCTCCTGAGTTGTAAGTGGGGGTCTCACCTTTGAGCATTTTACATAAAAAGAGAACATGGTGAGGGTCACACATGCACATCTGTGGCCGAGTTTACCCTCCCCCTACTGTCCCTGCCAATCCTTGACACACCATTTCTTGACCTTGATGCTAAGTTTCAGTCGCCGGACCCTATTGGAAGCAATAGAGCTGAGCTCCAGAGGAAGCTGCCCCTAGTCAGATGGGAAGGCAACGCCCCATGGTGTGCAATTATACTACTGCTTCTTAGCATTTTTTCAGCTTGACATGGACATTTCAGTTGGAGATTTCATCCTGTTTCAAGTTTATGCCCCATAGCAAATCAAGAAGGCTTGGATCGAATCCTGATTCCATTGCTGGCTGGCTGTGGGATTTAGGTACTATTACTTAATCTTTTGAGCCTCTTGTTAGCTAGTTTCTGAGTTTTGTGACCAAAATACCTCGTAGAAACAGCCTAAGGGAGGAATCACTGGTTTGGGCTCCTGATCTCAGAGGGCTCAGCCCATGAGTAAGCACCTGGCCATCTGTCCTTTAGCAGAGCATCATGGCAGTGCCGGGGGTTGGGGGGAGCACGTGGTGGGCAGCAGTTGTTCACATCGTGGATTGAAGGACCAGCAGCTACTGGCCTCATACCTCATTTGTCCTTATGTATCTCTCTCCCATCGTCAACCTGACTGGCAGCTACCAAGCCATAAAAATTTTAAAGTAAGAAAGGAAAGGAGGGAGGAAGGGAGGGATGTTGGGTGTTAAACTGGCTCTTCGGAAGGAGGCACTGAGCTAACATGGAGTCAAACAGAAGATATGAACAGAACAGCGACAGGCCCAGGGAAAGTGCGACAGGTGATATCTCCAAGAACAATCACGCTACAGGAAGCGAACTGGTCACACCACGGCCATTTTGCTGACACCCTAGCAGGGTGTTTACATTTTATGACACATTTGGAAACATGACAGATCTCACAGAGCTGTCTGAATCGCCACTGCCATGATCCAATCCATCCCTTCATTTTCTTATCTACTCGTCACGCTTGTGAGGCTCGTGACCATGTGCTGCAGCGTTGTGCCTAAGAGGAGCTCAGCGTCGACGGGGAGATGCGCTTTTATCTCAAGGACTGAATAGGAATTTTCCGGGATGAGTGTGGCCGGGGGAGGGTTAGGCATAAGACTGAGGACCAAATCAGAGAAAGGAAGAAAGATTAGGGCACGGGGACAAAAACTACTTAGAGCTCAAATAATATGATGGTCCATTTACAATATTTATGGTGCCATACAGCTAGGCAATCCTAGAAGAAAATTATTTTGAAGTAAAATGTCTTTTCTCTCAAAATTGATCCAACAATTATCTGGCAATGTTAGAAAGGGAATCAAGATGATTTATGATACAGCTCCCTTATTCTCAACAGAAAGAAAGCAAGTTCCATTTGTCTGAAGATGTAGCGGATACTGTTGGTCCACGACAGCCCTGGCATCTCCTTCTGTCTTCACTGGTGGCTCAGCTCGGCCTCCTGGTGCAGGTAGCAAATGTGGGCAGCCCTTAGCAAGAA